TCTGTAAAATAAGGGGTTGACCTTTCAGGACTCTTCTGGTATTGACAATCTATGATTCTATGATCCCTTTGAAAGGCATCTGGGTAAAGTGGAGAGAGAGCTAGCCTTCCCATCAGAATGAAGACCCCATGCCACGTCCTTCCTCAGACATGTACTAGCTTCCTAACTGTGGGATCCTGGCCAAATCACCTCACCTCTCTGTTCCAGGCAACTAGCAAGACTGTAAATTATAAATCAGAGACCTGTCTGCACTTAATAGAAGGAATTTCCTACCTGGGAGTTTCAAACCGATGAACTCATGGGTCTGTCTTCCCCCGGGCATCCTTTGGGGAAAGCACTTTTCCAAAATTACTGAGCACTAAGAATTTCTTTGGAGCAGCTAGGTGGCGCCATAGTGCAGAGAGTGCTAGGCCTAGAGTGAGGAAGACTCATCTTCCTGAGTTCAAATCTGGCTTCAGACCCTTACTAGCTGTGTGACTCTTGGCAAGTCACTTAAACCTATTTGCCTCAGTTTCCTCATCTGTAAAATGATCTGGAGAAGGAAATGGCAAACCACTCTAGTATCTTTGCCAAGAAAATCTCAAATGGGGTCACAAAGAGTCAGACACAACTGAAATGACTGAACCACAACCATCATTTAGATCAATCTCAAAGTGAAATGAGCACCTCAGGTGGAGATAAGTTACCTATTACTTCACTTCCCAAAGTCTAGATCAGAGGTGGGGACCCTTTGGGCTCCAGGCCACATGTGGCCCTCTAGGTCCTTAAGTGCAACCATTTGACAGAATTTGAATTTAGTCAAAGGGCTGCTCTTGAGGACCTAGAGGACCACATGTGGCCTCAAGGCTGAAAATTCCCCATTCCTGGTCTAGATCATTTCTTAGACGTTATGGAAAGAATTCTTTCTTGGATATAAATTGGATTATATGATCACTGAGTTACCTTCTAATTCTGAGATTCAATAATTCATTCTATAATAATAATAGAAGTAAAGTGACCATAGCCCTAGAATGACTTCAGAACCCTTTTGGACCAATACTTATTTTTACAGATGAGCGAACCGGGGCCTAATGCGCCCAACATCATACAGGTAAATAAGCATCAGGAGGAATGTAAACAGGTTCTCTGACTAGTATTCTTTCCAGTGCAGCATGCCACCTTTCCCTTCAGCCATTTCAGCTTCTAATCTATACTGCCTTCACTCCAACCAAGAGGCAACAAAGGGCCACATTGCTCGTAGGTCATAGTGTTACATCAATCTGTTAGGAAAAAAACCCAAGAACAACCCAACAAATCTGTTGGTGCTGGCAGGACCCACAAATGACCAAATGTGCAGAGCCATGGATCTGGTCTGTGTCCTGCTGACCTGTTCTAAATCCCTCAATGAGAGTTAGGAGACCTCACTACTAGCTGTGGCCCTGCCCCTAACCAGCTGCACAATCCTGAGCAAGTCACATCACCTTTCTGAGCCTCAATTTCCCCATTTATAAAATGATGAAGTAAAACTAGATGATCTATAAGAGCCCTTTCTGACCTATGATTTTACGGTTCAGCGTTAATCCTGCACCAGTAGCATTTTTTTTTTTTTTGGTGTGTGAGGCAATTGGGGTTAAGTAACTTGCTCAGAGTCAAACAGCTAAGTGAGTATTATGTGTCTGAGACCAGATTTGAACTCAGGTCCTCCTGACTCCAGGGCTGGTGCTCTATTCACTGCACCACCTAGCTGCCGCCACCCCCCTCCCGGTGGTATTCTTAATAGGGCCAGATCTAATACCCTTACCTGAAAGCCCCATTGTAGCCGTAGTAGGTTTCTTTGGTACTAGAAGCACATTTATCCAAAACTGGTGAGTCTGGATTGCCAATACATAAGGCACAGAGACTGGAAGCAGGATCAGCACCAGGAGCACAGGATTCACTGAAATATTTATCTGCATAGAGGAAAGACAGCTGTTTCTACTTGAATCAATATAAGAGCACTTCCCTTTACTTTCCATGTTAAAAAAAACCTCTATTTTAAACTATCTAATAGCCTCAATTAAGTGAAAACATCTGCTCATAAGCCCAGAACCTGAAACAAATCAGAGGTTCAGAGATTGGGTGACAGGCAGGTATGCCCCCATTGCATGGAGAGAAGGTTACCCCACCAGATGGTGATTAAAAAAAAAAAAACTCAAGGCTCATATATAGAAAGTCAATTAATATACTCTCCCACCATCACCCAGGTCCTTTGGGTTCTACTTTTCTTCTTCAAATCTGCCCCTGGTATCTGTTTTAACCTGATTCTATCCGTATAGAAATGTTTAGCACTCCCTGCCCCCCAGGGTAAGGAGGGATTTCACAATGTGACTTTCCCCACTAACCACTAAAGAAAGTTAGACGAATAACTTCCTCAAAGAACCAGCTTACCAAATTCACAGGAATGGGTTTTGTTGTATATTAGGCCCATGGGTATGTTCCAGCCTGCAGTTCTGCCGACCGCTGTGTGGCAGGATTTCTTGCCTTTTAGTGAATCCCAGGTAAGATCAGTTTTTGCTCTAACAACAGCCACAGCATAATAGCCTTGGGGAAAAAAAACCAGTTACAAAAAAGCCAAAGTTAGCATTAAGAGGCATTCCACAAGGTGCCACTTGGTGCCACTACACCAAGCCTACTTCATGCCTCAGGGGAAATAGATATATAAATATCCCCAGAATTATGGAACTGGAGAGTTGGAAGGACCTCAGACATCAGCTACTTCATTTTTCATGAGTAGAAAGGCATCTCCACTATAACATACCCAACAAGTAGGCATCCGGGCTGTACTCAAAAGACTTCCAATGAAAAAGAATCCATTATTCCCTAAGGTAACTTTTTCCATTTAATGGTTTATGTTCAGTCATTTTTCAGTAGTATCTGATTCTTTGTGACCCTATTTGGGATTGTCTTGGTGGAGATACTGGAGTGGTTTGCAGCATTTCCTTCTCCAGCTCATTTTACAGATGAGGAAACTAAGGCAAACAGGGTGAAGTAACTTGCCCAGGGTCATACAGCTAGTGGTCTGAGGTCAGATTTGAACTCAGGAAGATAAGTCTTCCTGACTCCAGCCTGGCACTCTATCTACTGTGCCAGCTAACCCAATAGACATACATACATACATACATACATACACACCCATGTTTATATGTATATATGTAGTTATATGTATGTCTAATATAAAATGCATCTGCATTCAGCTAACTTATGTATTATTTATGTTCTCTCTTGCATATATACATATGCACATATATGCACACATATATATGGAGAGAGAGAGAGAGTGTGTGTGTGTGTAATCAGAAATTTGTCTCCTCCCTACCTCCAAGAGAATCTTCTTTCTCAGAGTTGGAAGACAAGAAAGTCACTTGGCATTTAATCCTGGCTGTTTGAATGCACATGGATTGGTTTTTACCATTTTCAAAGCAAAAACATCTATATGAGCTTGATCCCCTTCTCAGCCTGCTACAGGGCTAATAAGAATGAACCCCAACCAGGGACTGTTCCACATCTTAAAATCTATAGGAACGTATGCAGTCCCCCAGTGACTCTTTGCAACTGACCCTAGGGTTTTGTTTTTTCTTTTTTTTTTCTTAAGAGCAAGAATAAGTGAATTTTTGTTAATTCAAAAAAACTTAATTAAAAAAAAAAACCCGACCTTGGTTTCCTACCATTTCATCTGCTGGGGCTCCTTTGTAGTTTTGCTTTTTATAATAATAGAAATTTTCCTTCCATCCCCGGAATTACCAATTCAGACTCACCCTCAGCAGATTTATTCTCACAATCAGGCCCATAACTCTGTCCATTCTTAGGTGCTGAAAGAATAAAGAAGACAAAGGAGTGAGTCATCTTCCATCTGCATTCACGAAATATCAAGTCTCCTTAAGCAGAAGTGTTTATCCCACTGAAATGTTATCCCCTTAGGAAGAATCTTTAATTCTTCCCAGTTCAGAATAACATGAAAGGTGAAAATGCATCTTCTTTCAGCTAAAGGCCCTTCCATTTGGGTCCCACCCTTAGAATGTGTGGATAACTGAGGCCCATGTTTTCTCTTTCCTCTCTTGCCTTTTGACCATTTCAGGACTTCTTAGCATAGCAAGAAAATGTGATATTTGACCTTAGTCTATACAGCAAGGGGCTAACCCGAGCTGTCTCCATTATCTTGGAGCTGTAAATGTTTAAATGATTATTAGTCATACTGTTTTATCCCTTTGATATTTCTCACCCTTCTTCCACCTAAAAAAAATCCCTAGTGAGAGCTATGTGCAAAATCTTTTGTCCAGAGTCCAGAGAGAGTCAAGCACAAAGAAAAATCTTCCCTTTACTTACCGTAGTTCTCGACCAGGACAGGCACCAGCCCACACTTGCCAGCAACATAGACATATCCTCCATCAGTGCTCATGGCATCAGCTTCCCCTTTCTGTAGGGGCAAAGCAAATCATCACCAAAACATTTGGACTGGTCTCTGCTCCCCAAAGACTACTAGCCCTCCATCAGGACTGCTACAGTACACACTCAGTGACAGGGTTGATTGATTAGGAAGGGGGAAGAAGGGAGGAGATGGATGGGAAGTCCAGGAATTTAGATGGAGTTTGACACCAGAAAATTATCTTGAATATTAATCTCATACAGAAGGCAATTAGGGAGGAAAATAATAGCTCACATTTATATAGCATTTTATGGTTTTTTATGGTTTACAAGGCATTTTCCTGACAATTCTCTGTGCTAGGCAATTTTTAAATTATTATCCCCATCTTATAGATGAGATAACTAAGGACCAGAGAAGTTAACTGATCTCAAAGCTAATAGAGACAGGTCTCAAACCAAGATCATCTGTCTTACTTTCCACCATCTCAGTTTTTCTGGTTGTTTGACACTTCATAAATTTCTTTCACTTACCAAGGATATTAAGCTACCTGCTCTCTCTGAATATCTCACCCAATTCTCCTATGACCACCTGTACTTATGAACTTTGGGATTAAGGAATGCAGCCTTTGGTTACGGAATACTTATCTCCAATATAAATTATAATATTATTAAATTATAATAGCTAACTGGCCAGGGGATGAAATCCATGATAACCTTGGCCTGAAGTCAAGAAGACCTGAGTTCAAGTCTTTCTGATAGCTATGTGACCTACTAATGGTGAATCTGAAGTGGTCATTCCAGAAGTGGAAGGAAATTTTCTGTTGTTATAAGTCACAACCTCTCTCAGCTTCATTTTCCTCATCTGCAAAATGGGGGGAGTGATAATACCTGTGGCATCTATGTCACAGAACTGCTGTGAAGCTCACTTGAGACAACATATGTAAAATGCTTTGCACACTTGAAAGCACTGTATGTAGATGTTAGTTATAATCACTATTAGCTTCATTAGCACCATGCTTTTCCCTAGTTACCACTCCTCTCCCTTGCCCTCTACAAACATCCACAGGGAGATGGAGACAACAATCTTTCACTGATCTGCAGAATTGACCTTGGCTGTCTGCAGGCTCGGATGCCATCCCTACCCCACTTGTGCTGTTCCCCATGTTGAAAGTCACTTCTAAGGCTTCTGGCATCACAGATCTACTGGAAGGGACTTCCAAGATCATCTAATCTAATCCCCTCATTTTATAGAGGAGTAAGAAAGTAGATAGTCTAGGATACAACACAGGAGACCCAGCATATGACCTTTTAAAATATTACTTTTTATAAGCATACATCTTTTATTGCAAGAAAATACCACTCTCCTTGGCATGGTGGAGGTGGTTCTAAGTCAAGTTATACATGTTACATGGAAGGCTCTGACTCTTTGGTGGGCAATAACACATCTTCATAGATAGACAACAAAGAAAGAAAACATACTGTCATTGAGGCAGGGGGTAAAGTTTTCAGACACTACCTGCAGAGTACAAATTCTTTATTTCTGTCCATGGGAGGAGGCTAACAGTGAACTAGGGGTGCTTAAAGAGACTCAGGCTTTCTTATCAAGCAGATTCCCATGAGCACCAAAAGGCATGCATATATTAGTCCGGCTGATGGCTCCACTGAAGCATGAAGAAAGGTACTCAGTTGAGTGACAGTACAGAATGGCTTGTCTAAATAACGGCAGCCACACACTTAGCTCCTGGGAAGTTGGTGTTCAATGTAATTCCCTAACACAGTAACCCAGACTCAGCAGAAATGTTGTTATTATTAATATTCACTATCTTCCTTCTCCGTTAGGAAATTCCTACTTTGAATGACAGGAGTTTAGGGTTAGACGGTGCTTTCAATATCACTTAGGCCAAACTCTTCACGGAGTCCCAGTGAGCCAAGCAGCTTGTTCAGGGTCATACAAGTGGAAAGTAGTAGAGCTATAACTAGAACCCAGATCCTCTAGGCTGAAGAACCCCAAACACTGATGCTGTACCCAAATGAGAGCTACCTACCATTATCTTGACAATGCATTCTTCAGAGTTATCTCCCACTTCACATGCAATGTCTCCATTACTGAACACGCTCCATTTGTCGCATACTTTCTTTTCCTCATTGTTCACTGTGCACCACTTCACCTTTTTGTCTCCTAAGGAATGGAGCTTGTCTAGGGCATGACCTGGGAAGAGAAGTCAGAGTTTGGCCTGCTAATCAATCCTTAAAATGCACTATGAAAATGCTTGAGTTGTGGTCAGTGAAAGATGAAATAACTAAGAAAACAAAGGTTCCATCTTCTGAGCTTATTGATTCATTAAATAATGTATGACAATTGCCCAACTAACCAACACCAGATTCCTCAGCTTAGGCCTGGACCTCAAATACAGGGAGAGACAGACTTTTCTATATTAAAAACCATTATTGCAATAAAGCCAATTCATTAAAAGGAAACAATACATTATGTCATCTAACTTCTAGTTAGACGAAAGAGTAGGGATTTTCCAAGTTGGGAAGGAAAGAGCAAACAGGTATAATTCCTTGAAATCAGAAAAAGAGGTCACCCACTCCCCCCAAGTGTAAACAATCAAAGGAATGTGGAAATAATAACTAATTGATCAGGATAGAGTCAGTTTTCAGATAAGACACATGAGTTGCTTGAGTTTGTAATTGTAAGAAAAATTGTAAGAAAACTCCTTGCATCAGTCTTTGGGTCTGACTGGGTTTCTGGTCTACATGACCTATGTCCTTGGTTAAGGGTCTCTAAGAGGCAAGGAGAGGTGGTCCAGCTTCCCAGTCACACAGGGCTAGGTTCAAACAAAACTATTCTCCCAATTCCCACAATTGAATCAACTTTTCTCACAAGATAGAAGTTGGACTAGACCCATAATTGAATAGGAAGGGAATTGAACTAGATCTAGAATTGAGTCACAAGATGGAGTCATTGTAGTTTACTCAATTCCCACAATTAACCATTTGCTGTCCTCCCCTTAATTCCCTCAATTTCCTTAGAGTTGGGGTTTCTAGCATTAAAAGGAGGTTATCATTCATCCAGTCACCAGAAGAACTCTTTTAATTCTTTTAATACCCAGGAACTCAGGAGATTGTGGATAATTAAAAAACAAAACCAAAATATGCCAGGAGTTTACTTTCTAAATACTTCCTAATTAACTGATTTGACCTGGCCTTTCAAGGACTTCCCTATATGACTTTGGGAGAGTCATTTTCCTTCGATGGCCTCCATTTTCACATCTTTAAAATGAGGAAAACAAATATATGATCTCTAAGGTCCCTTCTATTCTTGAAATTCTTGGATATATGATCAGATTCTCAAATATATGATCTCTCAAATATATGAATATATATTCTTAAATATATATGATCAAGTATATGATTTTTCAAATATATGATATATTCATATGTCGTATGTATTCATACATCACATGTTCATGGCATATGATGTATATTCATATATATACACATGATTTCTAAGGTCCCTTCTTTCCTCAAAATTCTGATATATGATCAGATTCTCAAATATATGATCTCTGGAATAGATGAATATATATTCTCAAACATACATGATCAAGTATATCATCTCTCAAATATATGATATATTCATATATCATATGTATTTATACATCATGTATATTCATCATATATCATATATTCATATATATTATTTCTGTGGTCTCTATCACTGAAATTCTCTGCTATATAATCAGATTCTCAAATATATGATATATATGATCTCTCAAATACATGACTGTATATTCTCAAATATATGACCTCTAATGGGTCCCTTCTATCTCTTGACATTCTCTGATTCTGTACTTCCCTAGTGATATCAGCTTGGAACTATGATGGGTAGGAAGATTTCCTGACCACTTGGACTGAGGATCATAAAAATGATTGGGGAGGGACGTTCTGAAAATTTCTTCTGTGCCAAGTAAAATAGCCCCAGGATATGGTTTTTGAAATGTTTGCCATTGTCCTTCATCCAAAAGAAATCCTTTAAAAGGCTATCAGATTCAGGTGACAAATACTGAGAACCATCTGGTCTTAACAGCTGGCCTGAAGGAGATCGGCCAGCTGTGTAACCCCTCTGAGTCTCTGTTTCTCCATTTTATCAATTGCCCCAGATTATTAGAAATTGCTATGGAATTCTCAAAAGGCCAAATGCCTGGAAGTGTTATGATGTCTTACAATGCCTGCGACTGAGTTAGAATCATGGCCTACCCCATATACTGTCATCAGACTGCTTGGGCCCCCTCAATACAGACCAGAGTCTCTGCTTACCTTTAATGGGCTTAATGGCCTGGATGTATTGGTATCCCAGGTACAGTTCATAGTCCATCTTTGGAGGGACTCTCAAAAGCCTGTTGGCAGTGTTCTTAAAGAGCAGGTCTTTTCCATGTTGGGAAGCAAATAGATTGAATTTGTCTGATTTGCCCTTACCAAAATTTTCCTATTCAAGGAAAAAGAGAACCATGAATGAAAACTGCTAACAAGGGAAGAGGTAACCCAGTGTTTGAGTCCTTTTCTCTCTTTTCTCTCACTTATTGACCTAACCCGCTCCCATGCTTGGATTATCATCACTGTGCCATTGGCTCACCAATCTCTATAACCAGCTCTAATCTCTCTTGAGCTCCAATCTGTTTCTTTCATCACCAACTCTCTATTCGACAGTTTCAAAAGAATTTCAGACTCAAAATAGAACTCGTGGTCTTGTCCCACACACTCATTTCTAGGCTAAATTTCCCTATTTCAGTCCAGGGCTCCATCATCCTTCCAGGTTTACATCTTTGGAGATTTCTTCAGCTCCTCACTTCCTCCACCCCCAACTTTTATAATAACTGCTTAATCTTGTGATCTTCACAGCCTCTCCCATATGTATCCCCTTGTTTCCTCTTCATTTAGACCACCTTATTTCAGGCCCTCATAACATCTCCCCTGTGTTATTGCAAAGCCTCCTAATTGGTCTCCCTGTCACATTTCTCTTTCCCCTCCAAGATATCATTCTCATAGCTGCCAATGTGATATTCCTAAAGCCAAATGTTTACAATGTTACTCCTCCCTACTCAAGAAACTCCAATGACTGTCTATCCCCACTAGGATCAAAATACATACTCTATTACTTAAAGGCCTTCACATGCTGGCCCCCACCTACCTTTCCAGTCTAATTATACATTGATCCTTTTCACCCACTCCACGGTCCAAACTGGTTCTCTTGTTGTTCTTAAGACAGAACACCCCATCTTCCATTGCCATGTCCACTTGCCTAGAATCCATTCTTTCTCCACCCCTACCTCTTAGAATCCCTTGTTTCCTTCCAGATTCAGCTCAAGTGCCACCTTCTACATAAAATCTAAGCCTGACTCTCTCAGCTGCTGCTCACCTTTCCCATATGTTGTTATTGTTCAATTGTTTTCAGTCCTGTTCAATTCTTCATGACCCCACTTGGGCTTTTCTTGGCAAGGGTACTGGAGTGGTTTGTCATTTCCTTCTCTAGCTCATTTTACAGATGAGGAAACTGAGGCAAATGGGGTTAAATGAGTTGCCCGGGGTCATACAGCTTTTAAGTGTCTCAGGCTAGATTTGAACTCAGAAAGATGAGTCTTCCTGACTTTAGGCCCCAGCGCTTTATCCACTGTACCACCTAGCCTGTCTCCCATATGACCTTGTATCTATTTTATGTATGTTTTATGTAAACCTATGTATGTATGTACTTTGTCTGTATGTCCTCAGCACTTAGCATTGTGCCTGGCACAGAGCAGTAGGAAAATGAACAGAAACCATGAGGCAAAAATAACAGGTCAAGAGGGAGAAGGAATTTCTAACTAAACTAAACTAATAACTAACTAAAATCTGTTGTGGAATTAGGATTCAAGACCAAAAAGACCCTAGACCTATTATTTAATTATACTTCTAGAAGATTGTGCAGAGGCCTAATGACAAATTAGATATAGCTATTGGACCACTGGGAAGGGCAAGGGGAACTTTACATTCATCTGGTGAATGAAAATGCTTAAAGGAAGCATGTTTCTTAGAGGAGCTGATGACATCCTGTGATCCATTTATATTTCACCTCTTTTTCTGAATATCTCAGTCATCTCTCCCAACCCCAGGGCTGTTAAGCATCAGTGATTCCATCTTATATGCCTCGTATTCTTGTCTACTTTGTATGTGTCCATTAATCTCTCAGTTCTATCTATCTCCATTTATCTTATCCAAGACTTCCATTTGATTGTTTTCCTTTTAAAGCATATAAGAATGTTTGCCCTAGAGCAGTTGGGTGAGAAGTATTTTCTCAGTTCTTTTTTCTTTGAAAAATGCTCTCCCTTCTGATCATAAACAACTTTGATTATGTTGAGAATCATCGCTCTTGATCAGTTCTTGCAAAACGTTCACAAAGGGAATGTAGCGGCAGCATTGGACTTGGTGTCAGGAAGAACAGAGTTCCAATCTGGCCTCAGAAATGTAGTAGCTGTATGGCCTTGGGCAAGTCATTTAACCTCTGTTCACCTCAGTTTCCTTATCTGTAAAATGAGAATGGTTTCTAAATGGTGCAATTGATACAGTGTTGGGCCTGGAGTTAAGAAGACTCATCTTCTTGAGTTCAAATCTGGCCTCTGACACTTACTAACAAGATTGTTAGTAACTGTTTGCCTCAATTTCCTCATCTGTCAAATGAGCTGGAGAAGGAAATGTATCTCCAGTATTTCTGACAAGAAAACCCCAAATGGGGTCACAAAGAGTCAGACATGATTGAAACAACTGAACAACAACAAATGAGAAGAAGAATAGCTTCGACCTCGGAGGGTCATTGTGAGGACCAAATGAGATAATAACTGTAAAGCATTTTGCAAATCTGAAGGTGTCATATAAAATGCTAGCTATTCTTTTTATCACATGGAGCATCAGTGGTGAATCTGTCTATGGCATATTAACACAGACTGACAGATTCATAAGCTTATGAGATCCTAGCCTAGCCAGTGCATCACCAATGCAGGAAGTGGATTTCCCTCTGTAGAGTACGGATGGCCTATGGGATGGTACAGAGTGTAGCAGACAAAGTCAGAAGACCCAGATTGAGGTCCAGCCTCTGTTAAACCTCTCTGAGCATCAGGTTTAAAACGGAGACGGGGCAGCTAGGTGGCACAGTGAATAGAGCATTGGCCCTGGAGTCAGGAGGACCTGGGTTCAAATCCAGCCTCGGACACTTGACACTTACTAGCTGTGTGACTCTGGACAAGTCACTTAACCCCAATTGCCTTGCCAAAAAAGGAAAAAAAGTGGAGACAGTAACATCTACCCAGACCACCTTGCAGGGTTATTAATGAGAATCAGAGAAACAACAATAGCCAATACTCAGATACCCCTTTGCAAGGCACAAAAGCAATTTCCACAGAATTTCTCTTGTGATCCTCAAAACCTCCCTGTAGGGTGTAGAGAATGCTAATGTTATGCCCATTTTACAGACAAAGAAATTGAGGCTCATAAAGTTTCAGCAACTTGACTAAAGTCACCCTGCCAGTTAGTGACAGAGATGGGAAATGACTTCCGAATCTAAGTTGAGTTAATTTTCCCATCACATTGTACTTTCTTAAGGAATAAGGAGATAATGGACATAAGCATGTTTTGTAAACTGTAATGTGCTGTGCTGGGTCATGTGTTTATAGTATCAAAGATCTAATGTGCTGAGAGGGACCTCAGGGCCAACAGGTCCAATACTCCCAATTTACAGATAGGAAAATCGAGGACTAAAGAGATGAAATGCCCATGGGTGAGTGGGAAGACAGAATTTGAACACAGCCCCTCTAAGCCCAGAACTGATGCTCTTTGCACATACTACAGTATCATGATGCTTATTTCTCTGACAGACTTTGGTGGAAGGAACAAAATCACCAGAATTTAAAAGGATTTAAAGAGGAACAGCAAATAGGAACACAATGAAAACTTAGCAGAAGGAAAAGATGATCAATAGTCATATGAAAAAATGCTCTACATCAATAATAATCAGAGAGATGAAAATTTAAACAACTCTGAGGTATCACCTCACACTGATCAGATTGTCTAAGATGATAAAAGCAAAATGACAAATGCTGAAGGGGCTGTGGGAAAACAGGCACACTAAGCTGTGAACTAGTTCAGTCATTCTAGAAAGCAATTTGGAACAGTCCAGAACTATGCACATTAAACTCTGCATTCCCTTTCACCCAGCAATGCCATTACTAAGTCTATACCCCAAAGAGGTCAAAGAAAAAGGGCCCACATGTACACAAATATTTATAGCACCTCTCTTTGTTGTGGCAAAGAATTGGACGCTGAGGGGGTGCCCATCAACTGGGGAATGGCCAGACATGTCATGGCATATGAATGTGATGGAATACTATTGTGCTTTAAAAAATGTAGGAAGGGGATGGTTTCAGAAAAACCTGGGAAGATTTGTATGAACTGATGTAAAGAGAAGAGAGCAGAAGCAGGAGAACTTTCTACACAGTAACAGCAATATGATAAAGATAATCAACTGGGAAAGACTTAGTAAATCTGATCAATGCAATGACCCACCACAGTTCCAAAGGACTCATGATGAAAAATGCTATCTACCTCCAAATAGAGAGCTGATAGACTCAGAGTGCAGATTGAAGCATGTTTTTCCCTCTTCCTTTCTCTTTCTGTTTTTGCATGGCTAATGCAGAAATGAGTTTTGCATGACTTCATATTTGTAATGAGTTTTATATTTCTTGCTATCTCAATGGGTAAGGGAGGGGATGGGCAGAGGGACAAAATTTAGAACTGAAAATAAAATAAAATTGAATTTTAAAAAAAAGAGGAAAGAAGATGACCAATACCTGTGCAGTGGAAAGGAGATTCCAGATCAGATCCTCCTTGCCATTCACACTTCGGGCCACAACAGCATGAGCAGGGATCTTGGCCAGGTTGCAGTCCCTGTACTGATCCACAGGCTTCCTTGTGTTATCAGGACACAACAGTTCATAATTATTTTTGTCAGCCTCAGTTTGAAGGTTCTCTGCAAGAAGAAGCAAAAGCCCTAAATGAGTAGGGCTCCAAGGATGAATGTATGCCCCAGGAACTCTAAGTTTTCTTGAATCAGTGTCTCAGCATCTCCTCTTGGAAGGTTGAACCTGGCAAGACTAGCGAGGCCAGATCTACTACAGAAGAATTTAAACCAGAATAAGCATTTATTAAGCTTCTACTGTGTACAATGCACTATGATGGGCATTAAATGAGATACATATTTTGAATAAAAGCAAAAGATCAAGGGGAAGAAGAAATCTCAGACTAAAATCTATAGTGGAATCAGAATTTTAGGCCTAAGAGATGCTACACTGACTATTTTGTCATGCTTCTAGAATCTTGGCAAGTTACAAAGGCCTAAGAGCAAGATATTGTCTTCCTGAAGGACCAGGCTTTCCCAGGAGAAATCTTGCATGTACTATTTGGCTCTAATCAATTATCCATTAACATTTTACCTTTTTCTCAGAACATCCCAACAATCTTCCTCACCACCCACCTCCCACCCTCCACCTTCCTTGCCTGTTGAGTCTCAGTTATTCCACCTTTCATGTCTCATATTTTTGTCTATTTTGTATGGTCCTCATTTTGAAGGACATTGCAGTCTAGCAGGGTAACTGGGCACCAAGGTGGGCAACTTTAATCTACAAGTACTAGGGTGTAGGTAAGGATGTAGATGGAAAGGTTAATAATTATTGAAAAAGAGACTCAGAAGAGCCCAGTGCAGAGAATTTCACCTATCTTCCAACAGATGGTAAATGGCATACCCATAAGACCATTATGAACTAACTTTTTAAAATTTTCTTCAGAAGAGGGTTCTAAGAAAGAACACAAGAATAGGAAATAGAAAGAACAAGACTGAGGTTAGGCTATGAACAATGCTTGGGGTAGTGGGGAGCTGGGCTTCTCTACCCTGGTACTTACCCAGCACAGTTGTGTGCTTGACAAAACTCACATCACCAGTACCATCCTTCAGGCATCTAGGGAAAAGGGAAATCAAGAGAATCATTAATAGCTTATCCTATGCTTTCCTACAGTCCTCACAGACATAAAAGCATATGGAGGATTTCCAGAGCAAGACAACATCTGGTCCACCTGAGGTTCATAAGGTCACACAGGTAGGAAAGTTTAGAGACAAGATTCATAGGTCCCTGAGCCTTTCTAGCCCATGTGACCCAATTCAGCACTTAATGATACAAATGAATCCTATTGACACATGAAGCTTAACTGCAGTTAAGGGGAAGGTCCCACTTACTTGTAAATCTAGAACTGGAAAGAACTTTAAAATGATTGACTCTAACCTCCTATCTGAAGATGAAGGGCCTGAGGTCTGAACTGACTTGTGAGAAGTGACTTGCCTCAGGTCTCATAAGTAGTAAAAGCGAGAGAGTCAGGATTCAGACTGGAGTCTTCTGACTCCAAATCCAGTTCTCTTCCCACTGGGCCAAGGAGACTTCTCGTATCCTGCCATGATTGGTTGGCTATTGTTTTAAAGGTATCGGCCTAGTCTTCCAATGTGACACCATAGTGCACAGAATAGTGGGCCTGGAGTCAGGAAAACTCTTCCTGATTTCAAATCTGGCCTCAGACACTTACCAGCTGTTTGACCCTGGGCAAGTCACTTCACCCTGTTAGGGGTGAAGTTTCCTTATCTGTAAAATGAGCTGGAAAAGGAAATGGCAAATGACTGCAGTATCTCTGCCAAGTAAAGCCCAAATGGGGTCACGAGGCACATACTAAAATGACTAAACAACTAATCTTCCCATCCCAATCCAATATTCCTTCTGTGAGCTTCTTGAAGGCAGATTCTACCTCTGTTACTTCTATATCCTCAGTCCCTAACCCAATGCTGGGCATTCAGCATGTAACTAATGTCCAGGGGTGTATTAACTACAGAGGGGGTTCAGATACTGACCCAAGAAGGCCAGCTCAAATTGGCCCATAGGGAAAAGAAAGTCTTTTTTCAATAGGCTAGACTGTGAGCCAGAGGGTGGGGGACTTCTTTTCGTAAGTAGTCTGCCCTTCTGTAATGACCCAGGGACTATGTTGGCTGGACTGCTGAATACTAGAGAACTTTCTTAGTCAGGCTCTTTGTCTTCCTTCAGTTCAGGCCTAGACTAGGCCCAAGAAACTGAAAGAACCAGTAACAATAATAGTAATAATCATAATCATAATCATAGTCCCTCTGCAAAGTGCTTTACATAAATTAACCTCATTTGAACAAAAGTAGAGGTGACTGTAGAAGGAGGGACTGAAGCATAGGGTACTTGCTGTCCTGCCCAACCTCTTTGGGAATCCAGGGGTCAGGATGGTTGAAGCTAAGGAGTGGCTGTTGATGGACCCCAAGAAAATCATAGGGGTTGGGGAGAATGTTCACAGACCTACTGATGCTTAAAGTTTCATTGGAGTTATGGGGAGAATTCAACTTACTGGAAGGCTCCTGAGTAACCAAAATAAGGTTCTCTGTCTGAGCAGGCACACTTGTCGCCACCTTTTCCAGCACACAAAGAACACAATTTAGGATTCTTCCCCGAAGCACAAGGAACACAGCTGCCGGAGAAGAACCTGGCCACAGCTACGGAGAAAAAGAAACAGCAGGCTGAGCAGTGTGAGGGGCATGTAGGGGGACACATAGAAACAAGGCGCTAGTCCAAAGAGTGTTTTCCAGGCCAGCTCTCCTCCCAAAAGACATATCAATAGTGATCTGCATGAACAGAATGATCTCAACCACTTGCTTTTCACTTTGGATGAATTAGTCCACAAGAAGGTATTCTTTCCACAGTGCCACCTAGCTGTCCCTCAAAGCACAATTTTCAATCACAGAAAAAAAGCTACATCATGCCCAGACATTTACTCATTTCTATTTGTCTATTTGTCTATTTCTATTTTGTCTATTTTGTCTATTGTCTATCATGTCTATTTTCTGCAAATCTTACATAAAATTTATATGCATCCAAATTTTGCACACTAAATAAAATAAAGATCGCTGATGATCGATGACAACATAAATAATGTTTTCTACTGTTGCCACTGTTAAATGATCATCTTTGTTGTTATTGTTTGCTTCAGTGTGCCAGTTTCTAATGTGCACAGTGAATATATGTGTGTAATGAACACAGAACGTGGGAAAGTGGATCTAAAACTGGCCTCTGATATTTTACATGATTGCATATGAATAAACTGTATCAGATTACTTACTGTCTCAAAGAGGGGGAAAGGAAGGGAGGAATAGAATTTGGAAATCAAAGCTTTTTAAAAAATGTTTAAAAATTATTTTAACATATAATTGGGGGAGGGGAATAAAATATTATTTTTTTAAAAGAAAGAGAAAGAAAATTGGCCCAGAAAGACCCAGGTCTTGCCATGTACAGTCAAGTCCCCTTAAATTCTCAATGCTCCAGGCACCTTGAGCCTGAGCTGATAAGCTACAGTTTCCTCTGCATTCAGTAGAAAAATTTCCCCTCTGAGAATTCTTTTTGTGGCTGAAATCACAGATCTGGTGGAGAGCAGGGGGGAAAGGAAGGGAAGGGGGAAAGGGGGGGGGAGAACTAATAATAATACTGCAGCTAGAAGCCACTACATGCAGAGTACTCACTGTACTTGCCAGCTTACCTTCCTCTATTGGTTCTGGTGGTCCTTCCCAATTCAACAAGCCAAGTGTAAACAATGTCCCCACAGGCATGACCCACCCAGCTGACCTGGCCAGGCCAGTGTGGCAGGATTTCTTGCCTTTGAGGTCCTTGATTTGGAAATCAGTTCCTTTCTTCACAACAGCTACAGCAAAGTACTGAGACAGAGGAGCTACAAGATGGAAGAAACAGGAAGGTTCTCAGCTAGGAGCCAAAGACACTATTCTGCTGATTTCCTAAGGGGTGGGGAGATCCCAGGAAATCTCTGATCTTGGACTTGGATCTGGTGATGAGTAGAAGGAAGAATTTGAAAACTCTTATAAAACTTTACATGTGTGTGTGTGTATATATATATATATATATATATATATATATATACACACACACACACATATGTGTCCTCTCACCTATATACATACATGTACATATATACATATGTAGTATATAAACATATATAAAAGTCTTATAAAACACAAAATAATGAAGGCAAAATGAGTAGAACCAAGAGAACATTGTACATAGTAACAGCAACATTGTTTTAAGAAAGACTTTGAGCAAATAAATTATTTTGACTATTATAAATACCTAAATTAACCATAAGACATATGGAGAAAGATGCTATCTGCATCTAGAGAAAGAACTGATAAATAGAAGCATGTTAGAAAAATTTTACATATATATATACGTAAAATACATATATATACACCTATTTGTGCCTAATGGTGGCCATCTTGTGGGGGGACAGAAGAAAAAATAGAAATTTACATGAAAACTTTGTTGTATAAATAAAAGGAATTGCAAGTTATATGTAATAGATTTGTAGTTTCATATGCAATCATCTTTTTATTATACTATGTTATAGAAATGTTTGTTTTATTCCATAAACTAAAAATAAAAGAAATTTTTTAAAAGAGAAAAAATTCTTCCTTGACTGGTATAAGAGAAAATAATCAAAGCTCCCCTTTCAAATCATTAAATGCTGGGAATTTTTCCAGTGGTCCCATTCAGGCAAATGAGTGGCTAGGAAAAGGCCCCAGTTCACATTTGCCATCTCTACAATCTCCTCTCAGGTAATTTCCCAGCTAAAATCCCTATATTGTTTTGGTGACCAGAATGCTGTCCGTTACTGACATTTTTTCCTTTCTCCTCCTTACACCACGGGTTTGAATTCTTCAGAGTCAGAAGCACATAAAGAAAATAAGTTTAGGGGGCAGAAATGTATGAGGGAGAGGGGGAGTTGTTTATATAAGGGCCTCTGTTATAATAAGGGAATTTCTGGGAGTTTTGTCCCACAGCCGAAGCCCAATCTCTCACTCCCATCAATGGCGTCTCTTGAGAATAACACAAATGTCAGTTTCTGGACTTTCAGGGTTGGGTCCTTTCAGCATCCCAAGAGTTGTCAAATCCTTTGTGCTGGCTTGGGAGCCAACATGTGCAGGTCAAGGAGAACTCACCTGTTTCAGTACCATAGTCTTCAGCAACGATGGGTTTCAGATTGTAGGGTACCAGACCTGCTTCGTAGATCAAACCACCATCAACAGTCACAGCATCAGCTTCATTTTCCTGAAAGGGATGAGTGTAAACAGCACTGAAGTCCCTCACCTCTCAATAAGAACAGTATGAACACATGTAAGGGATAGTTTTGGCAGGAAATCATAGAAAAATTATGACTAGAAAAACCTTCACAAAGCTACATTGTCTTTTACCTGCCATGGAGACAACTGATGGCTCAGTGGATAAAGTCCTGGGCCTGGAGTCAGAAAGAGTTCAAATCTGGCTTTAGATACTTACTAGCTGTGTGACCCCAGGGCAAAAGACCTGTCTGCCTCAGTTTACTCAACTATAAAATAGGAATAATAACAACCCCTACTTTTCAGGGTTGTTTCGAGGATCAAAAGTGCTTAACACAGCAGGGATTTAATAAATTCTTAGTTCCTTCCTACCTTCCTTAGAACATAATAGTAGATATACATGCCAAAAATTCTCTTTCCCATTAAATGAAAAAAAAATCCCTCTCATTCTCCCTCCCTGCCTGTAATTGCCCTGCCTTTCATTCAAACAGTATTTACCAAGCCTTTCCTAATGAAAAATGGCCATAGAAAATATTAATTTTATTTGGTCTTTACCCTCAAGAAGGCTACAGAAAACAAGCTGGATATGGAATCAGAAGTCAAAATTTATGTTCAAATCCTGGCTCTTCCACTTACTGTGGGACCTTAGGCAAGGCACTTGACCTCTCTGGACCTCAGTTTCCTCATCTGTAAAATGAGGGGGGTGGATTAGTAACCTTTAAGGTTCCTCCTTGCTCTAAATCTATAAGCTATGAAAACTGATATGGAAAGTGAGTAGGAGTGGGGCAGACTCCCTTTCATTTGTTTGTCCGTTGAATAATTAATTATTCACCAGCTACACACTGAAGTCAAAGCGCCTAGGTTCAAATCCCAGCTCTGCTAGGAGCTATCTGGATGACCTTGGGCAATCTTGCTTAATCTCTCTAGGGTTTTCTCATCTGGAAAAAAAAAAAAAGGAAGGGGGAGCTAAACTAGGGTGACCTCAGAGGCCCCCTTCAGATCCAAATCTATGATTCTATGATCTTTTCCTATTTGTACTTGAATTCTACATTCACCTAGGTTCTCCTCCACTCCTAGAAGATTGTCTTGAGGAATGACTGTGGCAAGAAAGGAAGAAAGAAAGAAAGAAAGAGAGAGAGAGAGAGAGAGAGAGAGAGAGAGAGAGAGAAGGAAGGAAGGAAGGAAAGAAGGAAGGAAAGGAAGAGATAAATAAATGAATGAATGGTCACCTGGTAACTGAGTTTCAGGTAACGAGCATCACTGCACTGATCTGGGCTGTCTCAGCAGGCAGGCAGCCAGTCATTGGGCCCTCACTCAGCTAAAGCCCTTCCAGCTTGGCAGGCCTTGTCAAAGCTTACCCTTTGCTGACATAGCCTTAAAAAAGCCAGGGTCTCTTCCATTTCTGGATTTTATTTTTCTTTCCTCCTCTATTTTCCAGACAGCTGCTTTCTCAGCGTTGCAAGAAATTCTGTCTCCCTTCCAGGCTACCTTTGGGGAAAGCACTTTTCCAGAATTACTGAGCACTAAGAATTTCTTTGGGGCAGCTAGGTGGCGCCATAACGCACAGAGTACTAGGCCTGCAATCAGGAAGATTCATTGTCCTGAGTTCAAATGTGACCTCATACATTTACTAGCTATGTGACCCTGGGCAAGTCACTTCACTGTTTGCCTCAGTTTCCTTATATATCAAATGATCTGGAGAAGGAAATAGCAAACCGCTCCAGTAGTTTCTACCAAGAAAACCCCAAACGGGCTCATGAAAAGTCAGACACAACTGCAACAACTGAAGGGAGGTACCAGTGTAATGAAACAAACTAAGAGAATTGAGGGAGAGCAGAGAGAACATTCCTCCACTGTCCCTCAGGCAGACAATCACACACCCTCCACCATACCACTACCACTAAGGAGGGCTTGTGACCTACCGAGATCGCCTTAACACAATCTATGTGGGAAGTTTTCTTTATACAGGCCAGACCGGGATGGTTGATAGACTTCAAGGCCTCTTTGAATTCATTGCATTTCTTCAGCTCGTTTTCCGATATGACACACCATCTTACTTGCTGTTCTGTAGAAGCCAGGCACAGCCCTAAAGGAGAAAAGTCAGAGGGGAATGAGTTCATGGCCACACTCACCTCAGTCAACCAGAGACAGAGGAGGTGCCCCTGTCCCGGGTCCTGATCTTCTTGCTGCGGTCATCTTCCAGGAAGGAGAACAGAGAAACAAGACCCAGTGCCTGCATGCAGGATGGGAAGTTGTCCCCACCAATTAGAAACCGAGGCAAGCAACACATCCCGGTCTAGTCATCCGCTCTCAATTATCCAGGGCACAAGCTCTCATTCCCAAGATGCCTCCCCTTTCCTTCCCACCACCTCGGAAGCTGGTAGGGAAGGACCCAAGGGATGGAAAGAAAAAGATAATTCCCCTTCCCTCACTGTTATTTTATTCCTCATCAGTGGCCCCTTTTTGGGGGGGGTGAGGGTTGTGTTTTGTTAGTGCTGATGCTGTTACTATTTTTCACAAAGTCTTTCAGCATGATGCATAACATAGGATTACAAAGGAAACCAACTGTATTGAATACAGGTAAAGAAAAGAAAAATTTGCAAACCCCAGATTAAGAAGCCTTGATTTAGGGGCAGCTAGGTGGCTCAGCAGATACAGCACTCACCCTGGAGTCAGGAAGACCTGAGTCCAAATTCAGCCCAGACACTTACTAGCTGTGTGACCTTAGGCAAATCACTTAACCCTGATTGCCTTTTAAAAAAAAAAAAACCTGACTTATAGAGAGGTTCGAATCAGCTTTATTGATGTGTTAAGTCAGCACTTCCAAGATCCATGGTTTCCTAGGAAGTAATCCTTTCTTCATTTTCTTTTTTTTTTTTGGAGGCAACTGGGTTTAAGTGACTTGCCCAGGGTCACACAGCTACCTTACTTTATTTTCAAAATCCTTTTTATATCTCCCTATCCTTCTAGCCTCTCCACACTTAGCTGGCCTGCAGTTTAGGTTTTACTAATGGTTTAGTAAAAAGAACACTTGATTTGGAGCTGGAAGAGCTGGGTTCAAATCCTACCTCTGCTACTTATGATCTATGTGCCTCTGGGCAAGTCATTTAACTTTTCCTAAGTTCCATGTCTGTAAAATAAGGGAGTTGAACTAGATGCTTCTAACACTCAAACCAGTGTCAGTTATTCTTAGTATGATCCAAGGTCCCTTCCACCTCTAAAATCATAACTTTGTGGTCCTAGGACAGCATGGAAACCATACTTGAAGCCTTCCCAGCTTAGTAGGACCTGCCAGGTTTTGAACTGGCTCACCAAGTTAGGGTCACCTTCTTGGCAAGATGAAGCATCAGAGGAGGACTTTAGTGGATGGAATAGCCTCTGCATTATAGCCACTGAGGGCAGCTGAATGCAAAGTGGATAGAGCACCAAGCCTGGAGTCTAAGAAGACCTGAGCTCAAATCCGCCCTCAGACACATAACTAGCTGTGTGACCCTGGGCAAGTCACTTCACCCTGTTTCCCTCAGCTCTTCATCTATAAAATGAACTAGAGAAGGAAATAGCAAACCACTCCAGTATCTTTGGCAGGAAAACCCAAATGGGGTCACAAAGAGTTGGACACAACTAAACAACAAGGGAACACCAGCACAGCAGCTTGCAGGAAATATATTCAAAGTATATTTTACAAATATGCAGAAAACCAAAACACAAAGTCTGGGAATTCGTTAGATATGGATTGAAATATCCCATGAAACATCCCAAGATATCTTTGCCCAGGGGCAGCTAGGTGGCACATTGGATAGAGCACCGGCCCTGAAGTCAGGAGGACCTGAGTTCATATTTGACCTCAGACCAAGCACTTGATTCTTACTATGTGACCCTGGGCAAGTCACTTAACCCCAATTGCCTTTAAAAAAAAAAAAGATATCTTTGCCCTCATGAGAAGTGTCCTCACACAGTTCTTCCCAGAATGAATGGGGTTTTGCAGCTGAAGTGTCTTCATCTGCAAAATGCGAGAGGTTGGACCAGATCTCTAAGGTGTTTTAGAGGATCTGAAGGGTCTGTACCATTCAAACTCCTTTGCTGAGCATTTAAATTCCTTCATAGTCTAGCTCTCCCTCACCTTTCCAGACTTATTAAGCATTACTTCCCTTCAAGCACTCTGCCTTTCAGCCAATCTTGCCTTCTTGCCATTCTTATATATAATGTTCCTTCTCCTGCATCTGCACAGGCTGTCCTTCCTGCCTGGAATGTCCCTCCTCCTCCCCTTTGTCTCTTAAAATCTCTTGTTCACCTCAAAACTAGGCTCAACTGTCATGTTCTACATTAGGCATTTCCTTATCTCCCCCAAAACCTAACCTAATATGTCATGTGTTCCACATAGATTTAGACCTGGGAGAGACTTTGAATGCAATTAACTCCAACAGCTTCATTTTATAGGGAGGGAAACTGAGGCCCAGAGAAATGAAGTAACCGTCCTCCCTCCCCCAGGATCACACAGAAAGCAAGTGCCAGAGCCAGGAGGAACCCAAGTCCTTTGATTTTTATTCCAAAAGTCTTTCCTCTATGTCATAGTCAGTCCTTCAATGCTAGAATTTAGAACTTAGTTATCTAGAATTATTAGTTAAAATCAGAAGCTATTTTGCTGGCTGGAGTAAGCCCCTCTCCTGCTTTGTCCTCCTTCTCTCTACAAGAGCCCCTGGCTTCCTTGGAAGCACCAGAGGGGATCTGCTGGGATCTCAGTTTCATCCCTCCATGGGGCAGCTCTGCCCCATTCTTCCCATTCAACTAAGGCTTTTTCCTATTTAAAGGATTTGCTAAGAGGCAGTGCGACTTCGTTGTTGTTTGTCTTTCCTTCTCCAAGAGGACCGTGATTTAGAGAGCTGGCCTCAGAAAACTAGACCTGGTTCAATTGCTGAGCTTTTCCCCTCCTCCCAGATGGTTCTATCCTCCCCTCTGAGAGTTGACCGGTCTGTACTCTATACCTGTCTTGTATTTGCTATATCATATTTGGAACTAAAGGGAAAGCAATGCAGGGGAAAGAGGAATATTTTTGGATCCTGTAAGCAGGAAACAAAAGGAGCAAAGAGTTATTTAGAAAACTCACTATCCCAATAACTTTCCAAACAAAATCAATCACTCAACAAGCACTTATTAAGTGCTTACTGTGTACCAGTCATTGTCTAAATCAGCCATGGAGATTTAAAAAAGGCAACAATATTTCCCACTCTCAAGGAGTCCTCCATGGCAACCACTCACTTACTCCCATTAGCGTGTTGTCTCTCTGTTATAATGTAAGCTCCTTGATGGCAGGAGCTCACTAAGCTCTTGTGTTTCTATCCCCAATGCCTGGCATACAGTTGGCACTTAGTAAATGCTTGTGGAGTGATTGATATAAAATTTCATTAATAGGACATTAACAAGGGAAGAAGACACTAGTGTCCATCAGAAAGAATTTGGAGAAGCAAACTGAGAGGGGAGCTCCTAGGGCTTTATTATGAAAAATGGTAAAGTGCCATCACCCCTTTATTGCTCCTAAACACCTGCTTTCAGCCCTCTAGGGAGGCCTTGTAACAAGAAGCCAAGCATCTCTTTTCATCTGGTCTATACTACTGACCAGCCTGGTGACTGTAGGCAGAACCCTTAGCTTTCCTCCATCTCAGCCTCTCCCTCTGTGACTCAGTTTCCTCACAGCTACAAAATGAAGGGATCTGACTAGATCTATGGCTCTTAATCAGAGGCCAGGGAAGTTTTTTTTTTAATGTCTGGATGACTCTCTTTTGACATAATCAGCTTCCTTGGTCATCAAATATATTTTATTTTATGCACTTAAAAATTATTCTCAGAAAGGATCCATAGGTTTCACCAGACTGCCAAAGGGGTCCCCATCACAAAAAAAGGTTAAGAAGTCCTGTACTAGATGGTCTCTAAGATACCTTCTAGATCTAAAGTTATGATCTCAGATCTAAAGTTTTTATCTCAGGATCTGCATTTGGGGATGAGAGTTCTACATCCTCCTAAAGCAGGTTATATCTATTATTGACTGCTGCAGCGTTGATCAGGAAAACTCACATAAGCTCTGTATTTCTATCAGGTCCTCCTTTTATAAAATAACTTTGTGAAGTATGTCTCCCACCCCCTTCAAATAATCTGTGTGATCCTAGGCAAATTATTTAACCTCTCTGGGCCTCAGTTTCTTTATCTGTAAGATGAGAGGGTTTTGATGACCTCATAGGTCAATTGCAACTTTCTAAATGTTCAAGTGGCTCAGTGTTAAGAGTAAGGAAAACCTGAGTTGAAATTCTATCTCAGACCTTATTAGATGTATGTCTATTAGTAAGCCCCTTACCCTTCTCTGGGCCTCAATTTCCTCATCTATAAGATGGAGATCATAATAGCATCTATCTCACAGGGTTGCTCTGAGGATCAAACCTTAAAGTGCTATATAAATGCTGGCTTAATTATTATTATTTTTTAAATTATCATTATTGTTATTATATCTACAAGGGTAGCAGATCAAGAACTCAAGACTGCACTCACGGATAGTTTAACCCCAGGACTGATCTCTCTTCCATGCCAGGTGTGGATCTGTCTCATTCACATTTTATTTTGTGAAGACAGAGATGGGAATCCAATTCCTGACACCCTCCAGTGTGCTAGTGGCCTCAGAGAAAGCTCCCACTAGGAGATATGCAGAAGGCTACCATGGACCCTGGTCTTACTCACAAAGAATGGGCAGGGAAGACTACCCCCACCTCACCCCAAAAATGAACCTGGCATTCCCCCTCTAAATCAATAGCCATCAGTGGTCACTTACCTATTATCCCGAAGGATAATAAGGCGGAGAAAGTGAGTTTCATTTCTTTGTTGGTTCTGGGCCTGGTAGCAAGGGGGTGGTGGGGCTTCTATCACAGAATAACCCCCTGGATTCTGTGATGGCTTCTTAGCTGTTCTCCTGGTCCTTTTATAGAGAAACAGGAGCTGTGTTAGCAGAATCAGTGACCTAACAATGTTTGTCCTTCCTTGTTGCCCAATAGCCACTCAGCCACCTTCTTCTCCCTCTTCCCTTTTCTCTCCCCCGGCCCCCTCCCCCTCTCCCCTCCCCTCCTCCCTCCTCCATTCCCTCCCCCTGCCTTCCTCTGATCATCGCATTTTCAGGAAGGCCTGAGCTCTGTTACAGCACTGCAGGGCAGTAGCCAGGGGAAGGAATGCTGATTAATGGGGATGGGGTTGGAGGAGAAGGAATAAGGAAAAGTAGCAGATGTTTTGTGAGGACCTCTTGTGGTTAAGCACCTCAGGGGGACATACACTATGGTTGCTGGAGAGAAATCCACACTGGAGGTCAGCTTGGCCAGAATCAAAGTGGGAAAGGCCCTTTCCTGCTGCAACAACCCCTTTTTAAGGAGAATAGGTGAGAAGCAGCTTGTGTGTGTCACTGATTAAACCCCAAACTTGGGATCTTGTCTCCTTCACTACTGCTTTTATCTTGAAAGTCAATTGGTTCAATGCCTTCATTTTATAAATGAGGAAACTTAGGCCCATGTAGACTTGCCCTAAAATGTTGTTTTTTTACAAGGAATCAGACAAACTGCCAATAAGGGGTATTGCCCAATAGAGGTCCTTCAGAGACCTGCTTTAATGCACTATAATAGGCATTTAAAGAGAGATATCAATGATCTCAAAGTAAAAAGGGTTTTCTACAGTGTTTTGAATCTGCTTAAGAACAGTACATCCCCTTATGTTAATACTCCCCTCTGATCTTGTTTATATAAACTTGCCATCTGGTGCTGAACAGACATAAAGCGATCCAGCCCTAGTTGAGACTCTGAGAGATCCTGAAGTGATCAGAGCCAGAATCAGTAAAGTGTAGCTGTATTGTCAGAAAATCTCCTGCAGTAGCCCACTTTTCCTGTGGGCCAAAGGATCCTCATCTGATCCCATCCTGAAGATGTGTACAGAAAACAATCTAATGGAACCAAAAAGGCTAGAAGAGAGGCTTAGCAATGATGGAAATTTTCATGCCTAGCACACTGTCAGCTCCATATTCATACAATATTGCTGTTACTGTGTACTATGTTCTCCTGGTTCTGCTCATTTCACTTTGCATCAGTTCATGATGAAAAACCTTTCCAGGTTTTTCAGAAAGCATCCTGTTTGTCATTTCTTACAGCACAATATTATTTCATTACGATCATATACCAAAATGTTCATCTATTTCTCCAATTGATGGGAATCTCCTCAATTTCCAATTCTTTGCCACCACAGAATAATGTTTTTCTAAATAATCAAAGGAAATGCTAATTGTGAGTTGGAGGTTACTGAAAATTAAAGATGCCATTTTTTCCCAACCAAGTTCGTAGATTCCTTGAAATCTATCTCTAAGACATCCATGAACTCCAGGTTTAAAACCTCCAATCTAGTTCCACCTTTTCATTTTACAAATGAGGAAACTGAAATCCAGAAATATAATGTCACTTTCTTAAAAACACATGCTCATTATGCAGCAGAAACAGGATTTGAATTCAGAGCCTCTCAATCAGTGCCCAGTGCTCTTTCCATTAACCCACCTCTCTCAAAGTAAGGGAAGTAAGCCTTGAGCTGTGTCCCAAAGAACAGTAGGATATTGATGACTCTTCTAGACATAAAATCATTTCTTTATTTAGTTTCAACAAACATTTTTTAAAGTCTTACTATGGGCATAGCACTGTACTGGGGCTGGGGATTCAAAAATGAAAATTGGTACAATCCCTACTCTCAAGGGCCTTGTAGTCTAACAGGTGAATATTGCTGCTGCCTTCATAACTATGGGATACAGCAAAAGCAATAATCAGAGGAAAATTTATATTTCTAAATGCTTATGCCAATAAAATAGAGAAAGAGCAGACCAATGAATTGGATATGCAGTTAAAAAACTTGAAAAAGAACAAACTAAAAATTCCCAATTAAACACTAAATTGGACATCCTAAAGATTAAAGGTGAGATTAATAAATTGAGTGTAAAAATGAATTAATAAATAAAACTAGGAGTTGATTTTATGAAAAAAACAATGAAATAGAGAAACCATTGATTAATTTGACTTAAGAGAAAGAAAAAAGAAAATCAAATCACTAGTACTAAAAATGAAAAGGGTGAATATACCATTACTGAAGATGAACAGGCTGACTTCAGAAAAACCTGGAAAGACTTTATGGTCTGATGCTGAGTGAAGTGAGCAAAATCAGGAGAATGTTGTGCACGGTAACAGCCACGTTGTGCAATGACTAATATTGATAGACTTAACCCTTCTCAGCAACACAAGGATCTAAGACATCTCCAAAGGCCTCATGATGGAAAATGTTATCCACAAAGAAGAAAGAATTATGGAGTTTGAATGCAGATGGAAGCATACTATTTGCTATTTTTTTCTTCTGTTGTGTTTTGTTTCTTCTTTCTGGTGGTTCCTCCTATTGGCTCTAATTCTTACTTACAACATCACTAATGTGAAAATATGTTTAATAGGAATGTACATGTATAGCCTATATCAGATTGTGTGTCATCTTGGGGAGGGAGGTGGGGAGGGAGAGGGAGAAAAATTTGAAGCTCAGAAGCTTATGGAAGTGATTGTTGATAATTCAAAATAAATTAATTTTTAAAAAAACACTTGAAAGTATAGGTAAAAATGTATTTTTCCTTAAATTGATAAAAAGCATTTATCCAAAATCATCAGCAAACATTATTTGGTATGGGGATAAGCTAGAAGCCTGCCCAGTAAAATCAGGTATGAAACAAGACGGCCCACTGTCACCCATATTGTTCAATATTGTATTGGAAATCCTGGCAATAGCAATAAAAGAAGAAAAAGAAATAGAAGGAATCAGAATAGGGAAATGAGATAATAATAAAACTATCTCCTTTTGCAGAAAATATTCTTGGAAAATTCTGGATTGTCTACAGATGTTAGGGGGACATAATCACCACCCTAGTTCAGCTCTTCTTCCCTTCTGACTTAGACTGTCCCTTGGTCTCCCAGCCTTAAAATCTCTCCCCACTTGAATCCACCCTCCACAAAGCCATCAAAGTGATATTCTAGAAAAATGATGATATTCTTGTAAAATCCCAAAGACTCTAAAAAGTTAGTTGAAACAATTGATAAATTTGGCAAAGTAGCAGGATAAAAAATAAATCCACATAAATCATTCCTATATGTCACAAACAAAACCCTGCAAGAAGAGATAGTAAGAGATATCCCATTTAAAATAACTCTAGACAGTATAAAATACCTGAGAGTACACCTGCCAAAACAAAACCAGGAATTATATAAACAAGATTATAAAATAAAATAAAAACTTTTTTGTACAAATAAAATCAGATTTAAACAATTGGAGAAATATGAATTGTTCACGGTTATTAGGCAGGGCCAATATGACAAAAATGACAATTTTACATAAACTAATTTACATAGTCAATGCCATTTCAATTAAATTCCCAAAAATTATTTTACTGAATTAGAAAAAATAATAACAAAGTTCATTTGAAAGGAAAAAAAGTCAAGAAATACAAAGGAACTGACGGGGGAAATTTGTAAAGGAAGGAGGTTTAGCAGTACCAGATCTTAAACTATATTATAAGGCAGTAATTATCAAAACTATCTGATACTGACCAAGAAACAGAATGGTAGTAACAGAGTAGACATACAATTTACAGCAGTAAATAAATATAGTAACCTTGTATTTGACAAGTGTAAAGACTTAAGATTTTGGGATAAGAATTCATTACTTGGTAAAAAGTTATTGGGAAAACTAAAAAGCAGTCTGGCAGAAACTGAGCATAGACCAATATCTTACACCATATACCAAGATAGAATCAAAATGGATATGTGATCTAGATATAAAGAGAGATGTTACAAGAAAATTTGAAGAACATGGGATGTATTACTTATCATACTTATAAATATGTGAACAATTTATGAATAAATAAGAGATAAAGAGCAGAATAATGTGTGAAGTGGATAATTTTGATCACATTAAATTTAAAAAGTTTTTCTACAAATAAAACAAATGTAGCCAAGATTAGAAGGAAAGTAGAAAATTAGGGGGGTCAGGAATTTATAGACAGTTTCTCATATAAAGGTCTTGCATCTCAAATACATAAAAAACTTTGTAAAATCTACGAGAATATGAGTCATTCCCCAACTGATAAATGGTCAGAGGATATGAACAGTTTTCCAATGAAAAAAATCAAAATAATTAATAGTCATATGATAAAAATGCTCTAAATCATTATTGATTAGAGAAATGCAAATTAAAACAACCTTGAGATATCATTTTATACCTATCAGATTGGCTGAAATGATTGAAAGGGAGAGTGACAAATGTTGGAAGGGATGTAGGAAAATTGGGACACCAATTCACTGTTAGTGGAATTGTGAACTGATCCAACCATTTTGGAGAGCAGTCTGGAATCATGCCCAAGGAGTTATTAAATTGCCTATGCCCTTTGACCTTGTAATACCACTATTAGTTCTTTTTCCAAAGATAATTATGGAAAAAGGAAAAAAACCTATATGATCTAAAATGTTTATAGCAAGTTTCTTTGTGGTGGCAAAGAACTGAAAGTTGCTGATATATCCATCAATTGGGGAATAGCTGAACAAGTTGTGGTATATGATTTTGATGGAATACTACTGTGCTATAAGAAATGATGACCTTGATGATCTTAGAAAAACTTGTATAGAAGCAGCTAGGTGGCCCAGTGGATAGGAGTCAGGAGGGACTGAGTTCAAATCCGGCCTCAAACACTTGACATGTACTAGCTGTGTGACCCTGAGCAAGTCACTTAACCCCAATTACCTCACCAAAAAGCAAAAATAAATAAATAAAATTAAATGAAGTACATTAAAAAAAAACTTGTATAGACTTGCATGAAATAATGAAGAGTGAAATGAGCAGAACCAAGAGAACATTGTATACAGTAACAGCAATATTGTTTTAAGAACAACTTTGAG